ATCTGCAAAGGAGGACTACAAATTATAAGAAGCTAGTCAATAAGTATGTCCTACATTTTTTCCTAATGGAAATTAGGTATATTGCTTGAAAAGTGTAACTGCGTGCAAATAGCATTTTACAGCACTAAGAAAAAAAACACTAAAAAAAAATCTCAAATAGAATCAACTACATCTGACAGATCTAGTCTTTATTTTTTGTTTAGTTAAATAATGCAGGCATAATAAATGTATTCTTTATTCTAGGATCACACAGGGTCTGAACGTAACACTCAGAATTAACTCTCCAGTGCATAACATTCTGTCATAAAATCATTAACATCATCTGATACAATTTTAAATTACAGACCAGAAATCTTCAAAAGCATACAAAATGATTCATGAATAAAAACAACAAAATCCATTTTAAAAGAAAAAGTAGTAAAATCTGGTAGATCTTTTTAAAAATAATGAAGCTGGAACAATGTAAAGTTGCATTCATGAAACTAAATGCTTTGTTTAATGCATGTGGAATGACTTTTTAATAGGTTTATTTTACATATAATTGCTGAGCTCTGAAAGTACAAAAAATGGAAATCTTCTACTATTCCTGTTTTGTCCTAATAACTTTCCAGAGAGAACACAAATATTGAATGGAAACTGATAGCGTAGACAGCTGTACATTAGGTATCTTGAATATATTTGCAGTAGAAAATAATTTCAACATCTGCAGCACACCTAGAATCATTTCTTAAGATCAATCCTTTACAGCTAATGTACTCCCATGGTGTATTCCAGGATACAGTACAAAGAATTAAGCTCACACTACCCTGAGGAAAAAAATAACCCACACCAGTGTTGTCAGTTATCCACAGTTGGGCTACTTCACATGTTCAAGAAAAGCTTTGGTGTAGAAGTGTTCATATTTCTAGTCATGTACTACATAGATAGGGTGACCAGATGTCCAAATATTAAGGGCTTTGTCTTATATAAGCAACCATTACTCCCTCCTCACCCCCGCATCTCAATTTTTCACTCTTGCTATCTGGTCACCCTATGTAAATGATCTGAAGTATTGGATTTCTTCAAATGTTGTCAGTTCTCCAGTTTATGCAACATTGTAGCTTCCAGAGAAATATAGATGAAACACACCAACAATTAAAGAGCACTTCAGTTTCATAGTCTTGTTCCTGGGTCTACACAATCTAGAGTGATTTAAGTTTAGTGGAACACTTGATTTTGTTTTAAGTGCTTTAATTTGGAAGTGTGTCAACTCTCACTTGCTTCCAAGACAATTAAACCAATTTAAACCTGTGATGTAGTAAAATACAAATGGAAACAAACTGCAAAAAGGGCATATTTAATGTCTTGAGTTAAAAAAGAATTTATAATGCTAAGGGGAAATGCCACTAGTTGTATGTATAATGCAACTTGAAGATATACACATATATAAAATGAGTTTATGGATAAGAATACACAAATTACTATTGAAAAAAATCAGGGCCTTAATAGTGAGATCATTAGATTGCAAACTCTGTCAAAACCTGGACAATTAAAGAAATAAAACATAGTCTCAGCATCTTGACTAATTTTTGATATCTATATATTTTCATCTTTGGATAGTGAGACTTCCCCATTGAATCAGAATTACTAGATTTGGTCTAAAGTTGACATTGGTATTGTTTAGACAAACAATTTAAAGCCCTAATCCTGCAAAGCCTTATTCAAATCCAGTATTTCCATTGAAGTTAATTGGACTACCCATGTCAGGAGGAACTCTGTAAGGGTGCTGAGGATCCACTCTAGTGAAAAACTTCACCATCTATTTGATCCTAAACCCTCAGAGTTACAAGGGAAAAGAGGAGGGATGAGGAGAAAATGGCTCTGGGAAGCTTTTTTTAAAAGGTGAAAATTAGGAGTTATTTATGCTTTTGCTGGCATATTATTCAGCTGAATTTTGCATAACTGATGTTACTGAACATATTGGTCTTGGTAAAATGACGGGGGGTGGGTTAATTATTTCTATTTCTGAGTTGAAAGATTTGAATACCTACAGAATGCTATTGTACTCCTCCTTTTCCCCTCATCCTCCAATATGTACTTGGAGCATACAGATTTTTAATCTGTTCTCTGCATCTCAGGAAGCGATCACACCATCTGAAATTCACCATCTGAATTGCCATGAAATAGAAAATGCAACAAAACACACTGAAAACGGTTGCAATTGCTAACACAGCCTTAGTCACCAGCAGCCACCACAAGACAATTTGGCTGATAGAAAATCCTGATTAATGACTTCTTCATTTTAGCATCAAGGCAACAGCCTGAACTGCTATGACTATTGGCTCTTCCTCTTTACAAGCCTTGTATGATCTACTAGTTTCCAAGAGCAACTAAATATCGTGGGGGGGGGGAGGCATATTAGAAGTGTTTTATAACTTTCCAGTCATGGTATGCCTACACAGAGATTAGATCTGACTTTGTTATAGTAGGGGGAGAGTGTGGGTGTGGTCCTAGCTCCCTAGGGGGTTTCTAGAGAGAGTGTGCAACCCTTTATTCCACAAAGTAATTAGACATGGTAGCTGGTAATTGATTCCCCACCACAAAGGGTGTATTTAAATTATTATTATTATTATTATTAATAGTTATAATTCATTGTACATAACAACGTGTCTAGTACATCAATGCAGCTGCATGAAAATGCCAAGTGACAGTGATTCTGGTTGCTACAACGGCACTTAACCTGGGTTTCCGAAAAGCAATCCTCAAAATTCCCTGATCAGTATCTGGGATATAATTCCGACCTATGTATCTCTCCCCGCTCCCCCTCGCCCCTTCTTTTATCTTCCTGTTCAGGAAGATGGGAGGAAGTCACTGGAGCTTCATCTTTCCCAAGTTGGTTACATTGATAAGACACACGCAATATGATTTATTGCCTTAGCCTTATTTGGTCTCTGATACAAGATGTAGACTGCACAGATCAAGCCAACCGACCCTCAAAGCCGGAGTTACCCTCCCCAACAGGCAGCACCCCAATTCCGGGCAGGGGACAACGCCAGCAGCATCTCGGTTCCATTTCTTGAAAAGAGTCCGGACTGAGCTATCAAAGCAAGGGAAATGGATCTCCCCCTTTTCGCCAAATCCAAACTCCCTCCGAGCCCGTTCTCTCTCGTCCCTGCCCCTCCCTTCACTTTAGCAGCACCCTGCGCAGCCCTCTCCATGGCACCCTTGTTCAGGGCTGAGCCAGTTATCAGTTACCTCCGCACACACCCCAGCATCCCCCCTACCTCCAAGCCATTGCCCCAGGACTAATACTCATTGCTGGCCGCGTTAGAGAACAGCCGCCGCCGCCGCCGCCAGTGCAGTGCACCACGAAAAGGAGGTGGAGGAGGCGGCTTGGTTACACCAGCCTTTTCTCTGGTTTCATCCTCACATAGCAACACTTAAAATGATGGTCTGTTAAACCCCACCATCCTCGCTTACAGCACTTTCCTCCCTTCCAGGCAAAGAAATCAGATGCCAGGTGTCCCCCTTCCCACACATCAATTCTCCATTCCAGCCAAAAGCCTCACTCTGCCCTACTGCATGGAAATAAATCCGGGAGGGGGACCCCCCCACCCCCACCCCCGGCCGGTCAGTCTGTAACATACACGTTTAACATGTTCTGTGTGTGTTTCTAGGCATGGTGCGCGCGCGCCCGAGCATTTTGTGCAATGCTTCTTTTAATCGCAAATCCCCTCAGCCCGTTTCACGCTCCAGTCAGCTGTATGGCTTCCACTTTTGCACGCGGGGCCAAAAAGCGCAATTGTCACCGTCTCTTGCCTTCTGCAAGAAGAGCCGCAGCTGACGGGTTCACACCTTGTGCCGCCGGTCAGCACCTTGGACACCCAGCGGCGGCAGCAGCCCAGACAGCTTCGCAGCGGCAGCCCCCAAAATCAGCTGCATCCTCATCAGCACAGAAGTGCTGGGACCAGAGCGAGCGTAGCGACAACCAACAACCCCAGCAGCAGCTGCTCAAACCCAACATCCCAGCGGTGCTCAGCAGCTGATGCGCACCCAACGCAATGCAACGAGAAAGACCCTCTCTTGCAACCCTCACGCCGATACCTAACAGTAGCAGCCCCATCCCTAGGACCTGCAACAACCCTGCTAGCATCTGCTGCCGCTCTCTAACGTTGCCCTCCTGAGGCACAGCTGCAGATGCCCCCTTCCCTCCCCCAACCCGATAGCAGCAAAGCAGCTCCTGCTAAGACCAGAATGCCACAAAAAAACCCTGACACCTCACCAGATGCACTCCCCCCCCCAGCAGCCACACCGCCCCCACTATTCCAACAGGATTAGCTGCGCCCACAAAACAAGCCCAGCAGCAGCTGTACCCTCGCCCCCAAAAGCGCTCAGCAGCTGCACTTCTCATTGTTTTTAAGAAGAGTCTGTCAGACTTTGCAGCCCAAGACCCACGCTCAGCCCAGTCGGTTCACTCCCCTCTCTTCATGCTTACACCCCAAGCCCTGCAAATCTTTGGCCACTGTGTCCCCTGGTTCCCCGCCTGCAGAGGCTACATTAGCCCGGGAGCAGCAGTGCCCCCAGCCTGGGGCGCCCAGCGGCATGAGACAGAGGATACCCATCTTCGTCTCCTTACCTTTTTCAGCGCTGACATTCTAGTACATTATTGATTTAGCAGGTGCCGGGTTGCATGTTGGACTGGCGGGTCAGGTGAGGGGGAAGCCAGGGCAGGAGGTGGCGGCGGAGGAGGAGCGGCGTGTGTATAGCATTCTCCCCGCGCAGCGGTCACACACGCTGGGGCATTGCACCGCTTGCCAGTCCCCTCGCGCTAGCCATGCGCTGCTGCCGCCGGGGCTGCTGCTGAGCTTGCAGCTGTCAAACCCCGCTCTACACACAGCTCGCGCGCTCTGCGCAGCCGCGCCCCCCCGGCCGGAGCCCGGCAGGCGCGGCGCGGGGCCGTCCGGACGCAGCCGCCATGCCGAGAAGGTCCGCTCTGCGCCCCGGCGCGGGCCGCCCCTCCGCCGGGAGCGCCAATGGGCGCCGTCCCCGGCCGGGGGTGGGCGCGGCTGGCAGGAGACTGAGCAAAGGCGGAAGCCTGGGGCGCGCTGTCGGGGCCGTGCGCCGCGGCCGGAGCTGCTTGTGGGACCATGTCTGTCGGCAGGAGGCAAGGTGCGGTCGGGGGTCCCTTGTCTGCTCCGGGGCGTTGGGGGCTGGCGGTTCCGCTCGCCCACTGCTGCGGGGGCTGCGCGGCTAGGTCCGGGAAACGTTTCCAAAGTTCCCGTGTGAGCCC